AACATGCTCAACTACATGTTTCGAGGGAGTTCTGAGGGAATTCTTATCGGTTTCTGAAAACTCCTATCCTAATTCGTAAATAATTAGTGAGGAAACTGCTGAGCTCAGCTGAGGAGAGCGAACATATATTCCTCCAACACTGCCTCGAACTTTAGTCACATCACAGCCCTGTATATCCCAATCGAACTTTCATCGCTACCTTTGAAACGCTTGATGATTTTGCATGTATTAGCAGCTTGTCTAAACCAGAGCGCAGACCGGCCGCGCCTGAAACCACCGACGAAGGCTCGTGTCACCACCACAGCGTCACCAACCTTCCGTAGGAGCAAAGTCCTCCCGAGTTGCATAATACTGACGGCTAAGCTGAAGGTTTTGAAGACACTCCTCATCGAAGGGCTCTGGCAGCATCTGGGCCAGGACCTTTAAAACGGTAGAACTGATATCAAGGGGGATAACCACTACTCCTGTAACAGAGCAGTTACACTAACCTGGAATAATGGGAGAACTAATACGTCAATGAACCCAACTTGGCACTTCGACAACTTTACGCTTTCTCTAACAGAAGTCAATACACTGCTGAGCTTTTCGCATTGACTACCGATCATGCATAGGTGACAACGGCATGCTCCTAGATCTCTCCAAGTCCCCCTGTCTGTACAGTTCTTCCATCACACGAGGTGCCCATAGGAGATAACACCTGTGGACCACAGTCTGTGGTTACCCTACATATCGCTGAGATCAGGGAATCATCCACAAGCCTATAATGTCCCCGTGAGGAACTAATTTTGCATTTTCCACGTATGGCTAGGAACACATTCTTCGATTCCTTTCCCATTAAGAACATCATTTCTCCCGTCGTTATCGAGCCCTGGGTAATGTTATCTCTCAAAAATAGAGGAGTCTGTCGCCAAGACTAACTCACTCAATGTCTCGCGTCGGGTACGAGATGTCTGCCGCGTGCAACATTATATTCAACACAAGTTGCCGATCCGACTGCTCGCATTTGTTGTCTGAACATATTAACATCAGCGTTGCCCATATGCAGGTTCACCAACTTGGGAATTCCGATGCCGAGTTCTTTAACTTCGACCGTAGCTCCGACAGTGTAGTAAAGTGGTTCTGATTGTCCGTCATTAAAACCATCTCGATAATCATTTTCCGGGAGAGCACCCAATCATCCTACGCCACATCAACCAATTCCCACCAACATTATACCCGGCTAAATTCACAACTACTATTGAGAACTTCGCCTATTATGACTAGGGTTGGAATATATGTTCGCTTTCCTCAGCTGAACTTAGGAGTTTATATACCAATTCGGGTACAAATGTACTGAAACCAACGCGAATTTTTCGGAATTCCGTCAAAAAACTCATATCGTCAGCCACACACGTAGTTGACCACGTGCATAATTTCCCAACTTTTGGAGCCACCTCCGAATAGTTCGCCATAGGGTTTACATCCATATCGCTCAGCGAGGCAAACGCCGCGGCAACATGGTGATTTTCCAATATCTGTAGCAAACTACACGAACCGTAAATTGCGATTCAGCTCACAGCGCTGTCACTATATCGGATCGCCATAGGATGCCGAATATTAACAAGGAAAGAGCTGTCAACACCCGGGTACTCGTAGTCGTGAATCTGAGCCTAACATTTTTTTCAGCGAGAGAACTATGACTACCGCAGCCGCAATAAGGCCGGCTTGCAGCTCTTGAGCAGAGAAAAAATCAGGACATGTTGTTGCCCTCCCAAGCTGGAGAGACCTGGAATGCTTACTCCGAGAAATTGAGCAAAGTTGCTCACATCAAGAGTGTGAGCATAGCTTGCATAACGTCTACAGTATGCATCACGTTATGGTACGGATTTCTCACAAAGCAACCTTTTTCGATCACACCAAGGAACTCTGCCGTTGCTGCCAGGTCGAGTTTCACTGACACAAGCCCTGGACAGAACTGGCTCTTACAAGGAGGTGGACTCACGACCAGGATCAGATGGGACGACGGGTTGACCCTTCAGAGAGTCCTCGGACTGCCCTGCCTGATGTGGCTCGATCTGGCCGTATTCAGACCCGAAGGCGGATACCACAGATAAGAAGTACATCCCCGAACATGCTAGCACTGGAAGCCTCGGCAGGTCACTGAGCGAGCGACAAACATTGACGCGATAAATGTTCGCTCTCCTCAACCGGGCTCGAGAGTTTCCTCGCCTTATAGGAGTTTATATACAAATTAGGAAGCCATCAAGATTCTCCCAAGATTTCCTCAAATTTTCAATATCATCACCGACATACCTACTTGACCCTGTGCATATTTTCCCACACTGGCCACATCTAGCTATCACTACGCCCTAACCCCCTCCTAATCTCCTATACTAAGAGTACAACAGTTAAAACGTGTCACCACGTGTCACCGCAGTAGTTTCTTACTGATCATCATAGACACCGAATGCAGCTTGAGAATTGTAGCTTCTGTACAGAGTGCCATTGAAAACGTCCTCCCCAAGTGAGGTCAACCTCACTGTTGAAGCAAACTGACCACCGGCTCCACGAGTAGCCGCACGCCGCACTCTGTTGAACTACTATATACCAAAAAACAACGAGCAGTAACCAAACCTTGGTTGCATAAAGGCAAAGACTCCTTTTCTTTGGTTCTGCACTGGACTGGACAAGGCGAGCACCTCCGCAGGGTTCTTCAACATCGGGTCAATCTCCGGTGCGTAGGCCGCATCGGAAGCTCCCGGATCAGGAAGGCTCTCTGGGTGCCCGAGGAGGAACTGATATTATCCACAAGTTACTTATACTAACTACGGCTAACCTACAGAAGCATAGTACGCATGCAAAATGTCAATAAATGCAAAATGAACAACAGCAATTCACCGGTGCGATAAAGCCCGCCTCCTCACCCGTAAAGTGAAGACATTGAAACCCCACGATGTCGCCGAGCGCGATAAATAGGCAACAACCCGTGAAGTGGCAGGGTCCATATCAAACCTCTGTATGCCAGTCATATCAGTGAGTTCGTTATCCATCGCCACACCATCAAGAATGTTCTTCAACAGTTCCCTTGTCCTCGTACTGGGAGGCACCTGAGTCAGATCAGCATCATCCAATGCTCAATGGTGGTCCAATGGAGTTTCACCCGTTTTACGTGAAGTGGCGTCGTAAAACTCGGTGAAAAGCGCGATATTCGCGGCCTGTGGTAGTCGTGAAATCTATTTTTCACTACTGTTTTTCATATCACTAGGGTGGTGAAACTCCAAAATACTATAGTTCGTGAATCTATCTCAACAAGGGCGTTCCAAGTGTGTTCTTTCTACCATGGTCAACACTCTCTCACCTTAGCCGTATCGTCTTCAACTGCAGCATTGTCCGTTGCTTTCTTTAGCACGATTTCTCCACTCGTTATCCCGCCAGGTTTGGTACTTGTCTTGGCACTAGCACTGAGGGAACGCATTCAGGATGATACCGAACTCCTTATGCCTTCTGGTGACACTGTGACACAGTACCAGAATATATGTTCGCTTTCCTCAGCGGATCTCAGGAGTTTCCTCACTAATTATATGAGCTTGCCCGCGAATTCGGCCAGAAACGTACAAAAACCAATAGAAATTTTCCAGAATTTTTTCCACTATTTTTCAACGTACGATTTTTCCTATTTTCTCATACCTCCCCAGAGTCAACCACTCGTTAATTTCCTGTCGAATCGGACCAAGCTCATCCTCCTCATCCTCGTCTGCTGACGATCCGCCCTTCCCTGCGCTGACTGATATGGTGTACAGGTTGTTGGTTTGGATGATCTCAGTGGCCCAATTGAGCCTCTCTCGCATAGGCCCTGACAGACCCTTGACCTCATACACATCACGGAGAATGTCCACGACTTTGTCCACCCTAGAACTGAACTGTAGGGCAGTATCAGCACCTACGAAAACACCAGAGATAGAGCCACACCGAAGGCCGCTGTTAGAGGAATATATGTTCGCTTTCCTCGGCTGAGCTCAGTGATTTTCCCCACTAATTATAGAAGTTTACATACAAATTCGACTAGAAATGTACAGAAACTAACACCAGTTTCGCAGAATTTTCATATTATCATCAACACATGTAGTTGACCGAAGCCCTACCATTCTGGCCTTTACGTTTTTTCCTGCTCCTCCCTGCTTTACGCAAGGCTAATACTAGCCGGAGTAGACGGAATAGTCGCAGAATAGTGAACGACTTGGCATTGCCTGGAACTGCGACCTGGAATATAGGTTCGCTTGCCTCAGCTGTGCTGTAATGATACTATTTTACATACGAATCTGGGTACCGGTGTACAGAGACCAACAAGAAATCCCCTAAAAAATTCCCCGAAATTTTTGATTTTTCTTACCAACACATGTGCATATTTTGAAAATGTTTTATATTGCGCTGAAAATGGCACTGAAATATGCACGCGTTTTTGCGCTGCAGAGGTTGACAATTCTAAAGCGTTGCTCACCTTGGCGACGCATGAGGCTACCACAATGATGAAGTCGAACAGATTCCAGCGATCATTTAAATACCCCAATCCTTCCGCCCTAAGACAACAAGCCGTTTGCTCCCACCATACTCTGAGACTAGGCTCTACATCAGTCGAAGTATTATTTCCACCACAAAGAAGGCGAGGAAAATTGTGTCAACTGTCTCCATCACGTCGCTCACACTCTCACTGACGTACTCTTCGATGCCTAGCACCCATGATGCACCAGATTAGAAAAAAAAGTTTTCTCTTCACCTAAGGCTGCCAGAATAAAAAGAGCATAGACTCCAACCAGGCCATATACAAAGAACTCGAAGCCCTTGGAATCCACAACTCGTATGGCAATTCCACGGAGGAGTTGCCATGGACCTGAACCCCGCCATTCAAAGAGTAAACTTCAGTAAGAGGGAATCACTAGGTTCATGGACCGCTTTTTGTTCACTATCATCATGAGTACTGCCCGAAGAGCTAGCAGGTCTGCCTCGCATGTCGTTGAGCTTCCGTATGAAGAACCTGCAACGAGCCTAACTCCAACGATGATATTCTCACACACCATAGTAGGGCTTGGAGGGCAAAATTGCGAAGCTGATCGAAGAGGAAAACCACCAGCCAAAAAACCAGAAACGACAAAGGGCGCCCGTACCTGAAAATAGTGACAGAGTCATGTGCCGTGGAGTTCCACCAAAACATTTCACGACTCACTTCGCGGAAAACAATTGTGTTATCGATCACGGGAAAAACACAAGTTAAATTTACATCGAGTATTACGCCGCTTCACGTTAAACGGGTGAAACTCCTTAGTGTTGGTGTAACTATTACTCGATCGTATTATATATAGCCCTAGACACTGCTAGGACCACAGCTATCACCACGCTCAAGAGAATCCACTGTAGGACACATTTACGAGAGGCCGCGATCACTGCAGCATCAACTCGGTCATACTCTGACAGTATCGATTCGGAACCGTTACTGGTCAAGGCGATCAGTCTAAAGGGAATTGATCATGACACGCCCAAGTAAGGAGCCTTACATGAGCAGAATATCAAGTGCAAAATGAAGTAACGCACTATATAGAGTAGCTAGTAATACTAGCACCCACGATATGCAAATAGCGCTCGCCTCAAAATGGTTGCCGACGTAGCATATCTGTGGTTCAATCAGCTTTACAGCAATAACAGTTAAACTCCTCACTTCATCGAGATAGGATTCTATCTCACATTCTTCGTGAGGATCAACACATAGCAAATCGAGTTGGTCGATGCCTGTGTCGAGATCAGAGCAGTAGGGCCTAGTGTCACCACTGGCCGTATACAACGCCATGGTAATCTGCCATGCAGCAGCAATAAGAGCATCACAGTTAGAATTTTAACCTAGCTATATGAATTTGATGTATACTCCTACTCAGTGGATGTTGAAAATTTCAACTTCAAATAAAGTATATGTCGGTGAGGAGGAGTTTTCTTTCGAACACCTTAGTCGATTCTCCAGCCTCTAGTCCACTAGCCTGAGCCGAATCATACCCCTCCCCCTTACATACAGGAAAACATATCGCAGTCCTGAATAAATCACAAGTAGAGCCAAGCCGACTTCAACGCATTAGCTCTCACCTAGGCAAGCGTCCATCCCACAGTTGAGCGGACTTGATATCAGATAGTGCGTCAAAGGCCGGGGCGCTGGCAGCGCACAGATGATCAAAGATGCCGGGGGCTGCTGTGGTCGCACTTAGAGGTTTCTTATACAAATACAATGCTGAGTATTGGTTGCCACCAAATGTGATGACCTGAGCGCATCGCAATGTTGGAGTAATAACACATAAAACCACCTTTGTTATGGTGGTTATAGAAACATATATATGTCCGCTTTCCTCAGCTGAGCTTGGGAGTTTCCTCACTCACTATAGAAGTTTACATGCGGATCCGTATGAAAATGTACATAAGAATTTCCCCAGAATTCTCCAACATACGTGGTTGACCATGTGCATATTTCTCCACACTGTGGCGTCGTTTTGACCAACTTCGATGAACAAATACTGCGTACCATGTCGTCATCAGTCTCGCAGGACGATACTGGAAAGGAGTCCATAGCACAAGCTGTCTTGCAAGCAGTCCTCTCTTGACACTCTATGGCATACCCACGACTTTTCGAGGATATCAGAAAACCCGATACCACACCATAGCTGATTCCATACACCACATTAACGAGCGCATTCACATAAAGGGTGCTCACATCAAGAAGTATAGTAGCAGTCGTGATAGTCGGGTCAAGCCTGGTGAGCGGAATTGCGATGGTAAACTGAGGAGCGAAAAGAATATTGATTATGACAAGTGTTAGCGTGATATTCATATCGCCGATGCATTCGTGATATTGGGAAAAAAATTAAGACTTTTCCCATTACATTTTTCCGGCGATAAACTCAGGGACTAAAGGTGACGCGATAGCAATCAAGATCTGAGCTTTCACATAGCTCTGCCAGGGTGTTGTGGTCACAAACGCTAATCTCTTCGACACACATGTGTCTTACTCAGTGTCATTTTGCCAGCATGTTAGAACGACGTTATTGGACCACAAATGTGATATTAGTCTTCTCGATTCAGGGCGGTCCCCATGGCAGAAGTCATACGCCCACATCGGGGAGAATGAACAGAATGAACAATCTTACTAAGCTGTCAACTATAAACGCAGTGAGTAACACATACGACATAGAGAACTCAGTGATGGTGACTCAAAACTAGATCCATATAGATAGAATTTTTCATGTTAGGTACCACAGTATATCACAGCGCGCAGCGTGCCTGACGAATGAGTATTAAATCTCGTTCACAGGTATTGTGTCTTCAAATCGTCCACTTTCGAGAGGACGGATACTCACAAGCAGACCTTCGACGGCTTAACGCTAGAGAGAGCAGTCAAAGTCGATTCCTGTCCTCCTCCACAATGGTCTCACCGACACCAGCTGAGACAACGAAATGCAATCCC